TTATTTTTCTCGATGTGTTTCCGTTTCTCTCTCTCTCTCTCTCTCCCTGTCTCTCTACATGTTTCCATTGTCCTGCGTCAAACCTGCGCCGATCCTTCTCCCACCTAGCCGAGAGCATTTGAAACCTTCACAACAGGAACCCTTTGGAAAGCACCACAAAGGGATTCCATGTGAAAGCCTCTCAACAGGAACCCTTTGAAAGGCACCACAAAGGAGTTCCATTGGAAAGCCTCTCAACAGGTCTTCATTTGGGAAGCGCTACAAAAGGATTCCATTTGAAAGCATCTCAACAGGATTCCTTTGGAAAGCACCACAGAGGGATTCTATTGGAACGCCTCACAATCGGAATCTGTTGGAAAGCGCCACAGAAGGATTCTATTGGAAAGCCTCTCAGCAGGATTCGTTTGGAAAGCCCCACAATGGTACCATTGGAAAGCCTCTCAACAGGATTCCTTTGGCAAGCCCCACAGAGGTACTCTATGGGAAAGCCTCACAATCGGATTACATTGGAAAGCTTCACAATCTGATTCCTTTGGGAAGCACCCCGAAGTGAGTCTGTTGGAAGGCCTCACAACAGGAACCCTTTGGAAAGCACCCCAAAGGGATTCTAGTGGAAAGCCTGACAGCAAGAACCCTTCGGAAAATGCTACAAAGGGTTTCAATTGGAAAGCGTCACAAAGGAAATCCTTTGGAAAACTACACAAAAGGGATTCCATGGGAAAGCCTCACAATTGGAATCTTTTGAAAAGCGCAACAAAGGAATTCCATTTGAAAGCCTCACACCAGGAACCCTTTGAAAAGCACCACAAAGGAGTTCCATTGGACAGCCTCTCAACAGGATTCCTTTGGAAAGCACAACAGAAGGATTCTATGGGAAAGCCTCACATTCGGAATCCTACAGAAATCGCAACACAGCGATTCTACTGGAACGCCTCACAATCGGAATCCTTTGGAAACCACAACAAAGGAGTTCCATTGGAAAGCCTCCCAACATGGTTTCTTTGGAAAGCGCAACAGAGGGATTCTATTGGAAAGCCGCAATCCAAACTGCTATTGTTGGGAGGATGGCGCTGGAACGCAAATCCTTACAACAGGAACCCTTTGGAAACCATCACAACAGGAACCCTTTGGAAATCCTCACAACAGGAACCCTTTGGAAATCATCACAAAGGGATTCCATTGGAAAGCCTCCCAACAGGATTCCATTGGAAAGCACAACAGAGGGATCCAATTGGAAAGCCTCACAACAGGATTCCTTTGGAAAGCACCCCAAAGGGATTCTCATGGAAGGCCTCTCAACAGGATTCCGTGGGAATGCATCACAGAGGGAGGGTTCAGCGCCGCAGGTACGAACCCCTCCCGCGACCTCCTCCCTGCGACTCCTCTCCATCCTCTTCCTCCTCCCCCTCCTCCCCCATCCCCCCCTTCTGAAGGAATGCAACAACTTTGGGAAAACCATTGGAACAACCAAAAAAACCAAAGAAACCTAAGTGCTGGAAACGAAAACTTTAGGAAACCCAGTGGAAAAAAACCAAAAAAACAAAAAACAAAAAAAAAAAGATTCCACAGAGAGTGCGGGGATTCCCTTTGGACGTGTCCCTTCGGACGGGTGTTCCCCGCACTCTCTGTGGAATCTTTGGTTTTTTTGTGTGTTTTTTGTTTTTTTTGGTTTTTCCAATGGGTTTCCTAAACTTTCCGTCTCCACCACTTAGGTTTCTTTGTTTTTTTTGGTTTTTCCAATGGTTTTCCCAAAGTTCTGGCATTCCTTCAGAAAAGGGGGAGAGGGGGAGGAGGCGGAGGAGGACGAGGAGGAGGAGGAGGAGGAGGAAGAGGAGGATGATCGGGAACAGGATGAGGAGGAAGACGGAGAAGGATGAGGAGGAAGAGGAATGCGCTACGAACGAAAACACACAGAAGAGAGAGCGAGAGAGAGAGAGAGACGCATGAAACCCTCGGAGGGCCGAAAGCCCGCCGAATCATCCAGTCTGGAGCTGAAAAAGATCACGCTTAAAAACCACCAGGCCCCCTTTGCGCCTGAAGCCCTGCTCAGACCCCACATGGGACGCCTAGACTATCTCGCTCGTGCCGCCAACGAACGTTACTACCTACCAGACCACCCCAACCCAACTCGAAGATCCAAATGTTGGGTTGGGGGGGGGGGGGTACGGGTTCCACATGTGTTCTTTCAGTGTTCCCCGACGCTCCCCCCCCTCCACTGGGAAGGCAGGGCAACTTGGGGTCCTCGGGTTGGGTTGGGGTGGATTGGTGGGTTGTGGGAAACTTCATCCGTGCCGACCGCACAAGATCCTGCAAGATCCTGCCACATTCTGCAGGACCCTGAGCGCCAGCCCTGCTTGATCCTGCAAGATCAGGCGCTCTGGCTGACCCCTGCTTGCACTGAGCCCCCGTCTCAAGTTCTCGGAACCTACAATCTGGCTCGTGCCGTCCCCGAAAATCTGTTCGCGCCCACCCCCGCGCGCGCCTGGGCCGCGGGCGCCGCCTGCGGGGAAACCCAAAGGCACCGCTAGCGCTGCTCCCCGGACCTCTCCCTGCGCTCCGCGGCAGAAGCTTGGGGCGAACCCGGCGGTGGCGACGAGGACCTCCAAGGACGCCCAAAAGGGCGAAAACGAGGGATCGGTCGGACGAAGTGGGTAAAAACAGAATAGGATTTCTTTTAAACAAACAAAAACTAATGGGTTTAGGCCCTCCCAGGGAAGAACAAAACACAGCAATAGCGCATCGTCCCTCAGGAGTGGGATGACGTTTGGAGTAGGGATCCGGGAACCCAGAAATACCTACTTTCAAGCCGACTGGCGTGTAGCGGTATCAATGAAGACGAGGCCAGGACGAAGATACATTCGGTTGAGGATAAACAAGAGGCGCGTGTGCAAATTATCATACAATTACGGATGTAGGACACTGGGATACGGAGGTGGCGCCAACCTGTGTCAGTTTCGGGGAAGCGCGGCAGTGATGCGACACGCTGAGCTATGCCGTGAAGAACTTGCTGTCACTGTGAGCTAGTGGCGCGTCTATGACTCCTCGGGGCCATGGTGTTATCGGGCGCCCCTGAGGATGTATTGGGGTCTTGTGTGGTTTTTGTTTGTTGGGCTCTTTTGGGCCGTCTTGGAGCAAGTTTGAGCTGTCATGGGGCCTTTGGGCCCATCGTTGGGACTCGGGGGGGGCCAACCCTGATGGTCCGCTACCGAAAATTTCCGGTAGCGCTCCGCAGAGATCGGTCGCTACCGAAATACCGAAATGCAGCGCCCAATACCGGTATCAGAGCGTTCCGAAATCCGCTATTTCAACGCCCTCAAACGAAGATCCGGTCGCTACCGAAATTCGGGGTGCGTCGAAATCGCTACCGAAAATTTCCGGTACCAGACCATCTGGGAAGGGCACGGCCGGAGCGGGGGGGAGCGCGGTCGGTCGGTTGGAATGAGCCAGCGGGGTGGCCACGGGGCGGACGGGGCCGGACCAAGGGAGCGGCCGGGGAGAGGGGTTAAGGGGGGCACGGTCGGTCGGCGGGGGCCACCGGGCGGCTGGGGGGAGGCACGGAAGGTCGGCCGGTCGGAATGGGCAGACGGGGGCCACGGGGCGGAAGGGATGGGCACGGTCGGTCGGCTGGTCGGAATAAGCCGACGGGGGCCACGGGGCAGACGGGCGCGAGGGGAAGCAGGGGGGCGGGAGGGCACGGTCGGGCAGGGGGGGGGGGGCACGGTCGGTCGGTCGGTCGGAAGAAGCAGACGGGGGCCACGGGGCGGGCGGGGGGGGGGGGGCACGGTCGGCCGGGCGGAATGAGCAGACGGAGGCCGCGGAACGGAGGAGGGGGGGCACGGTCGGTCGGCCAGTCGGCACAGTCGGGTCGGGCGAAAGGGGGGGATTCCCTGATGGTCCGCTACCGAAAATTTCCGGTAGCGCTCCGCAGAGATCGGTCGCTACCGAAATACCGAAATGCAGCGCCCAATACCGGTATCAGAACGTTCCGAAATCCGCTATCTCAACGCCCTCGAACGAAGATCCGGTCGCGACCGAAATTCGGGGTGCGTCGAAATCGCTACCGAAAATTTCCGGTACCAGACCATCTGGGTTGGGAAAGGGGGGGTTACGAAATTTGCTGCATGCAGCTGGTTTCGGCCTCACCGAGGGGCCCATTCCTCGATACATAGTAGCCGCCTCCGGCGCCGGGAGGCGCCGGGAAAATCAGCTATACGTGAGCTGATTCTCAAACCCCCCCTTTGCTATCCCCCCCTTTCGCCCGACCCGACACATGCAGACGGGGGCCACGGGGCGGAGGGGGGGGGGCACGGTCGGTCGGTCGGAATAAGCCGACGGGGGCCACGGGGCGGAGGGGCGCGGGGGGGAGCACGTATCCCAGCACACATCCCAGCACACGGAGGCAGCACGCAGCCCTGCACACACCCCAGCACACGAAGGCAGCACACGTCCCAGCACACATCCCAGGCCCAGCGCACATCCAAGGCACCGTCGGTCGGTCGGTCGACATCACGCAGTGCGAGATAACACCGGTACGTATGATAGTAAGGAGAATGGGTGCAAGGGAGGAGGGAAACAAGAGGGGAGATGGGCCGAGGACAGGGAGAGAAAGGGGGGGGGGGGGGACGGTCGGTCGGACTAAGCTAGGGGGGGGCACGGGGCACGGAGAGGGGAGGAGGCACGGTCGGTCGGAGTAAGGCACAAGAGGGCGATGGGGGGGAGGGAAATGCGAGGGGCGACGGGCGGAGAGCAGGGAGAGGAGGGGGGCACATGGAGAGGGGAGGTGGCACGGCCGGTCGCAAATAAGCCACGGGGGGGGGGGGGGGCGAGGGGGGAGGGAAATGGGGAGGGGGGGAGGGGGGGGGCGGAGGGCAGGGAAAGGAGGGGGGCCCGGTCGGTCGGAGTACGCCAGGGGGGGGGGCAGCGGGACAGGCACAGGGGATGGGGGCGCGGCCGGTCGAAATAGGCCAGGGGGGGCACAGAGAACAGGGGGGCGGGGGCGCGGTCGGTCGGACTAAGGAAAGAGCGGGGGGGGGGCGCATGGGGGGAGGCAAGCAAAGCCACGGTACGGGGAAGAAGGCACGGGGCAGGGAGATGGGGAGGAAACGGTCGGTCGGAGTAGAAGCCAGGGGAGGCGAGGGGAGGGGAAGCGGGGAGGGGCAAGGGGGGCGGAGGACAGGGAGCAGGGAGAGGAGGGGGGGGGGGAACGGCCGGTCGGAAGATGCCAAATATGCAAAAAGGGGGGCACGGGACAGGCAGATGGGAGGAAGAACGGTCGGTCGGAATAAGCCAAGGGTGGGGGCACGGAGGACGGGGGAGCGGGGGCACGGTCGGTCAGGATACTCCAGATTTCGTAATAAAAGGGAGGGGGTCTGGACCCTCCAAGACAAGCCATTTCAGACCTCCCCCGTGGGAGAACCCCCCAAAACATCGTCCCCAGACCCCCCAGGCCCTCCAAGATAGCCTGGAAGAGACCCCCCCCCCGAAATGAGACCCCCCTCCCTTTTATCACGAAATCTGGAGTAAGTCCAGGGGGGGGAGTTCGTGGGAGAGGGGGGCAACAAGGCCACGGGACGGGGAGAGGGCACGGGACAGGGAGAGGGCATGGGGGCACGGTCGGCGGGGGGCGAGAGGGGGGAGGGGAACCGGGGAGGGGAGGGGGCGGAGGACGGGGAGAGGAGAAGAGGGGCACGGCCGGTCGGAAGAAACCAGGGGGAGAAGGGAAGGGGAGGGCCACGGGACGGGGAGAGGGCACGGGACAGGGAGACGGAAGGGGGCACGGCCGGTCGGAATAAGCCAGGGCGGGGGCGAGGGGGAAGGACACGGCGAGGGAGGAGGGGGGGGGGGCGAAGGACGGGGAGAGGAGAGATTGGCACAGTCGGTCGGGAACAACCCGAATGACCAAAAAGGGGGGGGCACGGCATCAGCACAGGGGAAGGGGCACGGCCGGTCGGAATAAGCCAGGCGGGGGGGACGGAGGACGGGGGGGCGCGGGCACGGTCGGTCGGAGTAAGGAAAGAGCGGGGCGAGGGGGGGGGAAGGCACCAGGGCCACAGGACGGGGAGAAGGCCTGGGACAGGGAGAGGGGAGGGGGCACGGTCGGTCGGAATAATTGGCGGCGCGCACACAGGGGTGGAGGGAGGGGGGAGGGCTTCTTAGAAGGAGGCTGCTTCTTAGAAGGCGCCAGCCTTACATCTATAGATAAGGCCCGCGCCTTCTAAGAAGTAGGGGTGCTTCTAAGAAGCCCTCCCCCCTCCCTTCACCCCTCTCTGCGCGTGGCTGAAATGAGCCCGGGGAGGCGGGGGGAAGGGAAATGGGGAAGGGAAGGGGGACGGAGGGCACGTAGAGGAGGGGGGCACGGTCGGTCGGAATAAGACGGGGGGGGGGCAAGGGAGGACAGGGGGGGCGGGGGCACGGCCGGTCGGAATAAGCCGCGGGGGGGGGCTCGTGAGGGGATGGCGAAAAAAGGACACGGGACGGGGACAGCCTGTGACATATCGACACGCATGCCAACACAGATAGTCGGAGCAGCGCGCAGACAGCAGACATCCCGGCACGCAGGCCAACAGACGGAGAGAGGACGCGCCCCGGCGTTCACATTCCAGCACACATTTCGTCGCACATCCCAGGGCACGACGAGCACATTCCAGGCAAGCATTCCAGCAGACGGAGACGTCGGAGCAGCGCGCTGTCAGCAGACATCCCAGCACGCAGTCCAGCAGACGGAGACAGGACACACCCTGACGTTCACATTCCAGGACATATATCTTCGCTCGTCCCAGCACACGTCCAGCACATTCCAGGCACGCGTTCCAATGCAGCACATTCCAGGCACTCATTCCAGCAGACGGAAACAGGACACTCCCCGCACGGAGACAGGACACATCTCTTCGCACATCCCACGGCACGTCTGGCACATTCCGAGCACGGTCGGTCGAAACAGTGCAAAGCGAGATCACATCAATTGAGCAGGGACCGACCGTCCGGGCATTCCTATAGTCCTACCACGAAATGTTCTTAGAACCCAACAAATTTCTAAGAACAAAAACAATGTTCTGATAACAGGTTCCCGATGTGTTAAAACAAAACAAAATCAACCAGAAATTTCGTGGAGACCACAAAAGGTTCTTAGAACATTGTTTGGTAGGGCTATAGGCGAGCCAGGACGATTCGCCACTGCTTGAGCCAGCAAGTCTGAGAATCGAGCATCTCTCGGATCCGGCGGCTCAGGAGGCTGTGCCGGGCGCCCGCGGCCCTCTCGGAGCCTCCTGGAACGCTCTCAGAGGGTTTCAGGGACGCTCTGGAGCGGCTTCGTCCTCGTCCTATGAAAGGGGCCCCAGGACACACAAATAAACGCACACACAGAAAACTGCTCCCCCTATTTTCCCATCTCTGGGGGTGTCCATCTTCCCCCCAATTCCAACAGTTTGCTATATCTTCTCGGGAATCGACGATTCATTGTGTCTGTGTTTTTGTTCCCCGCCTGATCCTATCGGGTTGGGC